AATACAAAGTTATAAAAATATTAATATTAAATCTAGATAATTAATTTATAAAAAATTTAAATATTATATTTAGGGTGTCCAAATTAATTTTCAACTGTTCGGACTGATAATAAGCAGATTTATTAAAAAATTTATTAATTTTTATTTTATTAGATATAAAAATATAAATATAAATTAAAAGCTGCAAATTTGAACATTACAAATTTAGACAATCCAAATCTTACCAAGAGTGATGAGGATTATGATGGGCATGAAAGATGAAACCGTGGTGCAGACTGGTTGGCAAAAGTAGCTCATCTTATGATTTATGAGTAAATGATCATCAGCAATCTTCCTCCTCAATGTAAAGAGGTTATTTAGTTTCATGACAAGGGATATGCTAACCCTAGAGATTAATTTGTTTTTTTTTTTAATCCCAGGCTTTGCCTTTCGTTGTATAAAAAAAAAAAAAAGAGTTTCCCGTATATGATGAAGCTAGAATTTTTCTTGTAATTCTTAACCATTTGAACCAGCATGCACTGGCTTATTCATTCTTCATCATTATACTAATACATTTTTAGTAATAGTTATAAATTTTAGTAATAATGGAGGCTGAAATCTATTTCAGAGCCCAATAAACTTCTTAAACTTTTCATCCAAAGCAAGAATTTCTATTCTTACTACTTGCATTTCAGAAGAGAAACAATATGCAACTCAAACTCTTTGCTATTTTTGGGGATTTATTTCTTATTCCCAGTGAAACGTGTTTGATCATATTTTAAATCGAATTGAATATAACAACTAGCAAATGTCAACTCTTTGGTCAGACACACACACTTTCTCTCTCTCTCTCTCTCTCTAGAATCAAGTTTAATGACCCTCTTAACCCCAGAATGTGCTTAAGTTTACTCTGAAGTTTTAAGGCTTTCCCAAAAGTCATAGATTTGAACTGTACTTCTCATCCTTTGACTTCTTCAGAGTTCCTGGAGTTTCTATATCTGCATAAAACGATCGACTAGCAAAGAGCTTGATGTTGCAAATTTTGAACAAAAGAGAAAGCAGCGTCTCTTGTGATATTTTTAAATAGGCTTACTTCAGGGTCAGATCAGAACAAGGAAGAAGAAAAAAGGTCCATAGAATGCGGACATTTGTTCTATGAATTTTAAATGAAGAAAATCTCAAGACCAAGTATTCAATTCAAGTAACCATTTTTTCATTAGTGCTTTAGCAATATTGATGTATTAATTAATTAATATGCGAGATCTATTTGTTTCTTATCCAATTGAAAAATGGGGGAAAATAGAGTCGGTGGATCATGTATAGCTCTCTTATTTCCCAACTCGGAAGTAGGAACTTTCATTGGTTGTATTTTAAAAACATAAACGAATGACAAAATCGTGCAAGTGGTTTTTATTTTATTTTTTTAAAAAAATCATACCAACTCTATTAAGTCAGAGAGGAAGTGCTTATGATTCCCTCTCAAGCCGAAAGAAAACAGGGGAACAAACAAAGAGGAAGAGTCAGTATGAAATGCTTGACTTTCTAACTGTGTCTACATTTTCTTGGTTTTGGACTCGGTTGATAAACAACCACTTGTTGATATTTAAATTTCACGATGTATTAAAATAATAATAAGCCTTAATTTATATGGATACGGAATGCGAGCCACTGAGCCAGAAATGAAGAAACCAGATCCTACTATGAGTTAATGAAGCTAACAATGAGTTCGACCGCCTGCTTCCTGAGAGACGTAGATCTTTACTGTATATCATTAAAAACAACAAAAGATCCACCTGATTCAGATGCGTCATTCCCATTTCTAGAACCGTCAATTAAAATCAAACCTATAAGGCCTGAAAAAAATTGAGAGCTGAGCTGCTACTTTAATCTTTAAAAAAGTAAATCGAACTTAAAAAAGTTGGCCTTTTTAAGTTTGAAAATAAAAAGACCGACCCTTTAGGGTCAGGCCCTTTTAAGTCCTAATACATTTAAAAAAATATAAAATATATATATATAAAAAGAAGATACCACATCACTCAAGATTAGCACTGACTCTCTAGTCCAAACAGTAGACACGTACATTATTATTTGCTTACTTTGAATATTTTTACATTCTTTAAATAACTTAAAATTATGATTTTGATTTATTATTTATTGCAAATAATGAGGATGAAAAAGCAAGATATGAAAAGCTTAACATATTTGCCATTGATGAGGATCCACAAGGAGAATGATCAAATCATATTAATGTTGATGATGATAAAAATCATCAAGATTTAGCTCACGATGTTACCAATGTGTAATTGATGTTAGAGTTGATTTTGAGCTGTTATTTTTTGTCAAACTTAAAATTTTTGTTATGTGAATTAATTTTATTTTATTTTATTTTATTTTCTTAGATTTAATGTAATGTGTAATAATTTTATTAGAATTTTAAATATTTTTTTAAATTTTTAAATTAAAAAATTAAAAAAATAAATAGGGCCGAGGTCTTGATTATAGTTATTTTTTTAAATAATATTAGCTTTCTAGTGATATGATTATTTTGTAGGATAGAGTAAATATTTTGATTAGGATTTTTTCTATAGGATAGTAAATCTGATGATATGATGGATTAAAAATATAGGTTAAAACTCTTAGGGATATAATAAATATTATAGAATATTTTCTTGAGGTTGAAACTCATGTTTAAGAATTTTTGAGTTAAAATCTAGATCTATATGGTTGAATTTATGTGGAATCTGAGATGTAGGGATAAACCTATGATTATTAAATATTTATTTAAGTATGAATAGGTATTTTTGAGGTTATAGAAAGGTGATTTGAGGCTTCAGGATAATTTTAAAAATTTAATTTATTTTTGGACGAATTTTTAGAATATAGAAGGATGAAATTGTGATACTAGAAGTGATTTGAGGATAAAAAAAATAGTTTATTAGGGTACGAGAATTTTAGAAAAGAATTTGGGAAGTTAAATGAGGCATAAATCTTAAATTAGTGTTAATATGAATTATAGATCTAAGACTTTCTAACTATTTAAATTAGAGTTATTTATTTTAATGTAAAATTAATATATAGTATTGTGAAATAATTATGTAGATTATATTGACAAAGATAGTGGTGAAAAAAGAGTTGTGAAGGGGAACTTGTTATTCAAGACACAAGGTAACCATTATTAATGTGTTGTGATGAGTGTGTTTGTGAATGGTTATGTGTTGTTTTGTTGTTTGGAAAAATTATGAATTATTGAAAATAAATACTATATATACTTGTTTGAAATTATTGCCAAGTGGGTTAAAACTTTATTTTTGTTTATCATGATGAGATATTATTGTTCGGATATATTCCTGTTTGGATATTTGAATGATGCATGACTTGTCAGGGTATTTTAATGTATGGTGTTAATGGGAATTTCTGTTCGGTTAATTATTACCACGTGGTAAGCCCTCATTGGACCCAATGAGTGGCGTGTCGCTTGGTCCAACTCACCTTTGGCCGGGTGATTTGGCGTCTGAGCATGGTGAAAGGAGGATATAAGGTGCAGTCATGCAATTAAATACTTGTTCGGTTTGTTTGAAAATATTGTTCGATTAAATGTTTTGTGTGCCCACTTAGCAATCGCATGATTAATTACATCCGCATGCATCATTACATATTAATTTTTGGTTATTGGGACTTTTAAGTCTCATTCCCCGTGGTTAATATTTTTACAGGAGCGAGTCCGGCCGAGAAAGCACCAGAGGTGTAACTATGGTGTATGAAACACCATCTTTTACGTTGCCTCTTATTTTGGATTATACAATGTATCTTGTGCCAACTTAGGACATATCTTCTTTGTGAAGCATGTAAACTCTAATCCTTTTTGTTAAAAGTATTTATTTGACTAAGAGGATTATGTTTGTCTCTTTTGATTCATGACCTAATTTAAATATCATGCCATGAGGATCCTGACTGTCCCTCATGGTTCTAATTGCTTTTTTGAGATATTTTAAGACCTGTGGTATATTGTCTTGGATGTATCATGGTAGAAATTTTTCTACCATGATAAGGGTATGATAAGGGTTCAATGAAAAAAAAATGATTTCTTGAATTAATAATTTGCGAAAAATTGATTTGTAAATTTGAGGGTGTTACAGCCCTTCAGCCCAGAGGGTCAGGGCCAGGTTGCTAAAAATTGAGCCCTAGATATAATTGGGTTTAAAAGAGCAGCCCGTTTAAGTCCTGACTCTTGAAAAGCTGATCCTAATTGACACCTTTACCCATTTCATATTAGAGTGGGTCTCACCAAATTATGCCCTGCTTTCAATAATGGACTAGTAGCCCCTCCCCTCACTTCCTATCACACTATCTCTTATCTTCTTTAGTAAAATTAAAGAAAAATATCCATTTCCAAAATAATGGAGAATGTCTCTAATCTTCTGTGCTATGTACCATCAAATAAATAACAATGAAGTCAATCACTTACTCTTGGTCTTGGATTTCCGTGTACTAGATTTGGACCTGCTCAAAATTTTTAAAGTTGTGCTCCCAAAGAAAATAGAGTAAACTAGGGGGAACTCTTTGGTCAAAAAAAAAAAAAAAAACTAGGGGAAACTCAGTTGCATCCGGCTATCTAACACAACTTTTTGGAGCCATGGTCAAAGCGCCCTGATCCAATAACCAAGTGTCGATATCCGAGCCATCTGATCGTTAGGATCAAAAGTCAAAGATGAGTGGTATAGGACTAGTAATGTTGTAGCATAAGTTACCATAATTAATACACACAATTTCAATACATGAAGTAGATCTACCCCACTAATTACTGTGTCGGTTGGCGGTCCTTGTCATTTAATTATTTGTCAACAAACCCAGGACTACGAGGAAATATCACAGATGCCATTGCACTTTTCTATGCAGGAATACCAACCTGACAGAAATTATTGACTTGTCTCAAGTCACTGTACTGTAAGTGCAATTAAAACTGTTACATAGAAATGAGAGGAATTCTCAGAATATTTAGTATAAAATGGGATGCCCACTGCACAAAAAAGTTCACACTTCACAGTTCACACTCCACATCTCAGTTGCTGATTGCTCAGGGAGAAAAGAGAGAAACCGCGTTTTAGGAGAATTCGGCACTGTATCTCCTTGCGCCATGTGATGGGTTCCTCCTCTCGCATTTAACACTCCCTTCCCCTCTTAATTCCATTGATTCACTTTCCTTATCTCTCTGACACTCTCTCTCCCCCTCTTCAATACAACTCATCAATTCCTTCACTGTTAAGTAGTATCAATCATCATCATCCACCTGCTGCAGCCCTGGTTTCATTTATAGATCTTCAATTGAGTGTCACCTCGGTTTTTGTTGCAAATGGCTCCACCAACGTACTTGGGTTGCAGAAGAGTTGTTCTGTTGTTCTGTATTCTTTCTTTTCTGTTTGTTTCTGTTTGTTTCAGTGACTGCTCAGAATCGCAACCTCAGAGCAAAGAGTTTGCTGGTGGAAGGAGAATGTTGGAGGCACAAAAGGAAGAGCCTACTGTGAAAAAGACCAAGCCAATCAAGCCTAATCTTTCTCTTAAAAATCAGACCAAGCCCGTCAAATCCAACCTATCCGCCAAAAATCAGACCAAGCTTGCCAAAGTCGGTTCCGATTCATCGTCCAAATCCATACCCACCCTTCTCGCCGATACTGTGGTCAAGAAGCTGAATTCTACCTCCAAGAACAAGAAGCTGAATTCCACCAAATCAACCTCAATTTCCACCAAAAAATCCTCAGGTCTTCTCAAAGAAAGTGATGCCAAGAACAAAACGACCAAATCCACCGCCGCCAAGGAAACCAAGGTTAAAGCAGATCAAAAGCTGGAGCTCGAATCTGAGAAGCCGAACAAGAATAAGAACGCGGAGAAGAAGTCCGGGCAACAGAAACCAAAGAAACAAACGCCACCGAGCTGGATCGAGCAAGACGACAACGACGACGATTTCGTTTCAGAGTTGAAAGATCTGCCCACCAAGTTTCAGCAGTCGATCATTCCAGACCTCACGAAAATCTCAAGCACCTCCAGAATCTACATAAGCAAAGCCAATAAAGAAATCACAAAAGGATTCAAACCCTATGTCGGCAACACATACGCACCCACCATCGCCACCGTACTCTCTTGCGCATTCCTCCTGATCCCTCTGGTTTTGGTCTCTCTCATTTTCAATCGAATCAAAGCTTACTTCTCTCTCCAGAGACTCCTAATCTTCATCCAAGTCTATCTCTCCATCTACTTCTCCATCCTCTGTCTCTCGTCGCTGATCACAGCGCTTGAGCCCCTCAAGTTTCTATACGCTACTTCGCAGTCCACCTACGTCTGTCTACAGGTGCTGCAAACTCTGGGTTACGTATTGTACCTCCTACTGCTGCTGATGTACCTGATCCTAGTCTTCTCGACAGATTGCGGGCCGGGCTCGAAATTCGTGGGCCTGACCCAGACATTCGTCGGCTTGGCCGTCGGGTTGCACTACTACGTGACGGTGTTTCACAGGGTGGTGCTGAAGCAACCGCCAAAGACGAATTGGAAGATTCACGGCATATATGCCACGTGTTTTCTGATGAGCTGTGTGATTGCAAAGGCTGATAGAAGGAAGAAGGCTTACATGGTGGACGGAGCAGAAGAAGGCAAGAAGAATTAGATTAAAGTAAATTGAATTGAATTTATGCCGGAGATTAAGGTTCTTCATGTACCGCAAGGAATTTGGCATGGAGGGACGATAGTAAAAGTTTGATGTTCTTCTATATTTGGCTAAAAGCATTTGCGTCTACGCCTCTTTTTTTTCCCCCCCTCTCTCTCTTCAGATATATGTATAAATAAATACATTTTTTATTTTTGTTTTCCTCGCTTAAGTGGTTCAGTTATTTGAACTTTTTTTTTCCCAACAGTTATTTGAATTTTATGTCTCTGAGAAGGTAATATTTTTATGCAAAAATTTAGACCTTCTGTTCAAAAACAATAATCGTAAGACTTAACTTTTTAATCATATTTATAATTTACCTTCAATATATTTTATCAAAACTCAGGAAAACTTTAAAACTTATTTAATTCTATTTAAAAATTTAATTAAATTATTAACTTTGCATATGAATTTAAATTTTTTGAAGTTAAGATTGGTGGATTTGGATAAAAATTTTTTTTTGTATTTAAATTTATTTTATTATTTTTATAAAATATAGAACTTTTTCTCTTCTTCTTGAAAAGGAAAACTTCATATAAATTCGATGATATCAAATTTAAAGGATTTAAATTCATTAAATATACATATTTTAATAATATATTTTTCTATCTCCAACATTCAATTGAAGGTCAATGATGAATTTTGTAAAGAAAATTCATTAATATGACTTATAAATAAGATAAAAAAATCTTCTCTTTCTATCCTATAAATAGGACCAAAAGGAATACTCTCTCCATTCCTGTATATAATATATTTTTAACCAAATCATAAAAATCAATAAAAATTAGTTATTTAATTAAAAGTATAATAATATTTTAATTTTGCTCTTAATTATTATAAATAAAAAATAAATTTTTTAAGGTAAATTAATTAAAGTACTTATCTTTTTTTAATTTAATAACTGTATAATAGTCCATTTATTAAAAATTATGCTAATAAATTCTTATGTTTAGGAATAAAAAAGGTTCTATAAAACATTTTATATATAGAGATAGAGGGAGTAGGTGCTTAATCTTTTATACTTAATATATTTTCATCCAATCAAACCAAGATAAGTGAATTTTAATATGTTAATAATATTAATAACAAGAATTTGTTATAAAATAAATAATTGATGAAAGATCCACATATTGTAATTTAATTAAAAAAAACATCTTAAACATATACATTTAAGTACATAATTTTTTTACCAAAAATATATACTTAAACTTTACACCCTAAATGTTAAATTAATGATCCTGCGTTTAATAATGGAGGAGGTGTTTTGAGTTTTGACCATCAAACTCGCTCCATTCTTATATGAAGGGTATTTTTTTAAAATTATTTTATTTTTACATATAAAAGGTGTCACGATATTTTTTAGTGATGAGATAATTTTACTTCTATTTTGAAAAAAAAGATATATTAATTGTGTGCTTTACCTACTATTACCATAATATTAATTAACATTATTAAGGATCATATTGAAAAATTATTGTGATTTAATAAAATTTCAACTGAATAATAAATTTTTATTGATATGCGTGATTTAATTAAAAATACCTTATATCTGAAAATAAAATAAATAATCAAGCTCACCTAAACTTTATTTTCCTCTAAAACACCTCACCCAACCTTGTTGACCGTGCTATTTGATTAAAACTGCATTCCCTTGGTCTTAATTTATGTTATAAGACAATTTTTAAAGTGATTCCGTATGCAAAATATAATATAATTTGATAAAAATAAAATTTTATATTATACTTTTTTATTATTACTCTTCTTATTATATTCTCTCTCTAATATTATTTCACAAATGTAATATTAAATGTAAATAGAGAATATTTTAAAAAATTTATATTTTTATTTTAAAAAAATAAAGTTATAAAATATATTTAATAAATTTTATTTATATATGAAAGAATAAATATGTAAATTTAATTATTAATTATTTTTTAAAAAACACTGAAGATATTATGATATTATGCAAAATAAATTATGAATTATAAACCGTTAGGTTTCAACAAATGATCTTTTTTGACCAAATAATTTGACTATTAAGCTACATGTCTTCTCCTCATTTGTTCCCTCTTTCTTCTTTGTCTTTCTCTCCCCACTTTCAATCGATGATTGACTTTGAAATGCTCTTCGAGGCGTCCATACACCAAATCAGAGGCGACCAAATTCTCAGAGCAAGAACAACACATCGTCGGAGGTTGAATCGCGTACATGGAGAAACATCTAGCAAACTTAGAGAAAAATCCACAAATCCAAAGGCATAACAAACCTGAAAATATGCGCACACAAGAAAAAAAAAAAAAGCAATAATGCCGTCAAGAAGAGCAAGACCAATAATGACACCCACCAAGACTCGTGGAAAACAATACCCTTCTCTCATTTGAAACATCATCCTCCCAAGCTATTCCCGTAACATCTCAAAAAATTTTTCCACAATTTTTTAATTTAATAAAAAGTAATTATATAAATTTAAGTATAATTGGGTTTGAAAATAGTTAAATACAGCTATTGAGTTTGATTTTAACCTTTAAATTGATTTGAAAGTAAATTAGATCATTCGAGCTCAAATTATAGAAAGAAATTAAATTTTTATCCCACTATGCATTATGTTGCAGCACAAAAATTTATGCCGTTGTATAATTTCTTGAACTAGTTTTTTTTAAAACACAAAATTAGTTCAAAAAATAGAGAGTGAGACTAGAACCAGCGATTAAGTGAGTAATTTCTCCACTATGGCATCAAATTTTGAGGATTTTGAAGGTGTTTGAAATTTGGTTTCACCTAAATATGCCTTTTTATATCTTTTTCTTCCCCTTTACATGTTTTGGAAGTGAGATTTATGGTTGGGAGTTAATGATTTTTGAATTTAAGGCTATGGGTCCGAACTCATTAGTCTAAATGGGACTAATGAGAATTGGTTAAGTATTCTACACATAATTTAAAAGTTTTAATAAGGTTGTAAGTTTGGGTTATTCATTTTGGACAAACCCTAGACCTTCAAAGTGTGATTTTGAATTATTGGGTGTTATATTAGTAATTATTTAAGTTAATAAAAGCTAAATAGAATTAATAAAAGTTAATAAACCTAATGGTTATGCTTAAATATAAGATACTAGAATTTTGGTAGTTAAAGTGTTGATTAATTAAAGTTGAAAGAGTGTTTATGATGATTTTAATTATGATTGGTATAACTAATTGTAAATCAATCATCTTGTGCACCATTCAAGCTTTGGTATAACTTGTAAAGAACTTTTATTGAGGGTTAAACTTTTAATCTCTCAAAAGTTTGAGATAACTGGGGGAAACTTAGTTTATATAGTTGAATATTAATTGACTATTTGTTGAAATGATTGATTTGAAATATGTTTAATATTTTTAAACTTATGATGCAAATTTGGCATGGTTAGTGATGTATTATTATTGCAAATTATATGTATGTTCATGTACATGCTAATAGTAATGATAAATGAGAAATTGTGATTATGTACTAGTTGGTGTGTGGATTGAGTTGGGTGTGAGTATGGATATGTAGATTCATGATATGAATGATAGATTAGAATGTATATACATATGTGATATACATGCATAGCATAATCATTGGCGAGAGTTTTTCTAAGGAGAGGAATAGTTGATTAAGTCCATGTGATATTGACAGCGACCGTTGAAATTAAGAGCTTGCCTTGGCATTGACCGTTGGAATTGAGATGTAGCCCTTGTCTCATGATTTATTCAGGACTATCCCACTTATTCTATGAGGGACTCGAACCTAACTAGTCTCTACCAGTTCATGAGGAGGCTAGATTAGGGGTATGGCACCCTATAGTTGTTAGTATTGGGAAAAATTAAATTACACAAGTGAATGAGTTGACCCTGGCTCGGTAGCTTTTTACAAGTGGAAGGCTGAGTTAGTTCGTGAAGGTCGTAGCCATCGGTTTCATATCGAAGGTAACAGGAGTGTATAAAGTTGTCATATAATCATGCATTTAGTTTTGGCCAGATGGTTGTTAGTATTATGATCCAATATGATTTAAAGGTGCATGATTGGCATTATTGTGACTCTAAGTTATGCATCATTAATATATATATATATATATATATGTGATTATGATTGTTATTATTGTGGTCAAGGCTATTCGTTGTCATACATGTTTTATGTCTGTGTTTATTGCCAACTGCGTCCATTTTTTATTGATATGCAACTGCATAGATTAGGGAAAACTTGATTACTGAGTGGTTATACTCACATCTCAATTTTTAATATTTTTAAAGCTTAACTCATTGGATCAAGATCAGGAAAAATGTGCCCAGGCATAGGATTGTAAAATAATCCTTTATATGCCTTTTTATGTTATTTTATGTGTATTAAAATTGTTAACTTGCCAACTAGGATTTACATGAATATTTTTGTATTACTTGCATTATCATATCATACTTGTTGAGTTAATGAGTTTTGATTGTAAACCCTAGTACAGGGCCAAAATATTTGTACAAGTAGAAATATGTGTATTTTGACTAATTTAGAATGAAAATAATTGTTTTGTGTAAGAAATTTTTCCTCCTTTTGTTTTATGTGTTATGGGGTTGAGTGATGAATTTGTGATATATACATTTGTGGTTGAGTGTGGTGTGTTGCAGTAGTCTTATAGGGTTCATTGAGTGTGGTTGAGTGGTCAATATAGGCTTTTAGTACTTGAGTTTGAGTTTGGACACCATTGTTGTGACTTTTTGTGAAAAAGTAATAAAATGGTTTGGGCATCCAACTCTTTGTAAAAAAATAAATTTGAGTGTGAAACTTGTGCCATTAGTTAGAGCTTATAGAAAGCTCCATGTAGACATTGAAATTACTTCAATTGAATGTTGGATGAAGATTTAAGGCGCATTGAAAGTTTGGTCAAAAAATGTACCATTACAACTTCTTTTTTTCTATCATGGGTTTTTGCGTTTTATGCCGTAGCATAAAATTTTATGCTACAATGTATTATGGTAGAATCATTATTTTGGCTCTTTTAATCCTAATTTGATGTTATTTTATCTTATATAATGTCCATGCTTTCGTATATATGTCTTTCTCTAATTTTTGTTTATGAAATGATTTTTTTGTAACATGTTAAGTTTTAAAAACTTGGAATCTCATTTATGTAAATTTTACAAACTTAATAATTCAA